GGCTGGAGTTTGGCCCCTCCAGGGCTCTGTGCACCCTCCCCATTCCTTGGGTTCCCTCTGGCTGGGTGTCCTCCTGCCCTGCGTCCCGGCAGCCCCGAGCCGTCCAGCTGCCGGTGACCCCGTATCAGCTGAGAGCCTGGCCGTGTCCTGCGTCCCGGCAGCCCCGAGCCGTCCAGCTGCCGGTGACCCCGTATCAGCTGAGAGCCTGGCCGTGTCCTGCGTCCCGGCAGCCCCGAGCCGTCCAGCTGCCGGTGACCCCGTATCAGCTGAGAGCCTGGCCGTGTCCTGCAAGCCCAGTGTCACACAGGGCGGTTGTCCTGTGCCCCGGAGCAGCACCTGACCTGCACGAGTTACACCTCCCTGTGTCGGATCAGCTAGTTCTGACCTGCTGTCCACTCCTTGGCCCTCAGCCCTGACCTGTCCATTCTACGGCTTGCCCCTTCTTTCTGCTGGACAGACAGACTTCTAGAATGTTCAGCCTTTCAACATTCCCTGCTGAGCCTCGATGGAGCCAAGAGCTTGCCTGTGCTGCCTGGGGCTGGACCTGTGTGTGTCCATCCATCCTGACCCAGCCTGGGAGCCCGAATACCCTAGACAGAGAACGGGGTCACCTGCTTGAGGGTGGTTTGGCCTGGGCAGGGGCCTTGTGGGGTGCACAGGCCCTCCTGTGAGTGAGTGAGCCCCCGGGGGCCAGATTTTTCTGGTGTGTTAAGTTGGAGAAGTTAGCGGTTTGAGCTACATTTTTGAGAGTCCTAAGGAAAATGTTTGAGGGATTTTGCAAAAGTGTGAATAAAATTCTGTTAATTTTTTAGTTTTGCACCAAAGTGTGCTTGCTAGAAGTCCGTGTGCACGTGTTGCCCTATTTGTCCCTTCCCCTGTTGGAGAGCCCCGTGGCTTAGCTTGTGCCGTGCAGTTAACGTTCTTGGGCAGTGGTCAGCATAATCCCGTGTTACTTGCCAACACCTTGTCCGAGTGCACTGGTTAAAGGTTTGCTTGGCTCGGGGTCGTTATTTTGAGCTCGAGTCTGGCAATGGCTGTCGGCATTTGCGCACTCCGTGTCTACGAGGCAGGCAGGACGTGGCGCGAAGCCCTGGTCCCACACCAGGTGCGGAGCTCCGGGGGATGACTGTCCTTCCTGCATCACAGTACCGCGCTGTCCGGGTCCTTCCCGGAGGCGGTAGCCGGTCCTTGGGCCTTCTGCACACGGGGGGTGGCTGATGCTCTTCCCTGGGAGAACACAGACAGCGGGGGCGGCGCGGGGTGGTTGCGCAGAGGTCATGCGGGGCCAGAGCCTGCATCCGCCGTGTCTCCAGGAAGGTCATTAAAATGTCTCCTGCCACTTGAGAGTGAGCTGTGTCCTCTGTTCCCTGAAACTAGATGTTCTCAGGCAGGGACTTTCCTGTGAGGACGACGTTAAGGGCCCGCAGGACGAGATGGTTCTCAGAAGCTCAGACTGGTCTCCTTCATCAGACGTCAGCTCAACAAGGCATTGACCGATGGGCATGCCGACTTCTCCTTCAAGCACTAAGCACTTTGTTCTGGACTCCCAAAGGCTTGCGGAAATGCCAGCGACCCCAGAGTTCAGCTTACGCTTGGAACTAGCAGTTTAATGTTTTATGAGTTTTTTCTTCTTTGCTTCCCCAGAAAGGCTGAGGTTCACCGGAGAAGACATCCCGGCAGGAAGAGTTGGCCGTCCAGGCGCTGGTGTCACGGGTCAGGGCCCTGGGCTCGGCACGCACATAGGGGTCCCTTTCTGCCCCTCAGCATGTGGGGAAGCGGGCAGGGCCATCTGTTGGCTGGTGGTTTGAACAACTCTTTTGGGGCACTTTGGTCTGGATTCGTGGAAACGTCAGAAAACCATGCTCCTGTGGGAGGCTGGGCCTTCTTGGTTCCTGAGGGCCTCGCTGTTCCTCGCCCTCTGTCCTGCGAGGCCAGGATCCCCGCCATGGGGCTGGCCCCCTGAGTGTGCCGCCAGCTGTTCCTCTGTCCCTGTGGAATTTGTATCCAGAAGTGAGCCCCTCCTGGCTCCTGCTCCCCGGCCCATGCTTTACTTTCCTTTGCAGCTGGGTGGGTGGCTAAATGGGGAGGGTGGTCTGCACTTGCTGTCTCCCATTTGCTCATCTGCTCAAACACCCTTTGCCTCGAGCCCCCTCCTTGCCCACGTTGGGGTCCCTCCCCCCTGCTCCGTTGCTGTGTGACGGAGCCGTACCCTTGGCCCCCGTGCCCTGCCCTGCATGCCTGTGCCTGGATGTTCCCTCCCGTGCCGGTCATGCCTGTGTGTGTTTGCTTCCTGGCCGTCCTGTGCCCGTGGCAGTGGCTGAGTTGTGTGCGCGGACCCGAGTCCCGTTCCCCACGCTCTGCTTTGCGGTGGGGGCGCAGGGGGGAGGCTGCACCGGCAGGGCCCCCGCGGAGGTCTGACTCGCTGGTTCAGCGGCGCCCACAGCCCAGGGAACAGCCCCTGCGGCGGCTGTTCCGTGATGTCAGGGCTTTGTCGTTCTGGCTCGGCTACGGCTTGACAGGCGGTGACAACAACCTTTTGTGTCACCTTCTCTCGCCCTGTCGGCCTGCAGCCCCACGAGGTTGGCCGGTGTCTCTCATTCCCTGGGTTTGTGCTGGGCCCACAGAGCTTGTCCCTGGGGGAGCCTCTGGCCCCTGTTGGTGCTGGGCAAGCCTCCAAGGAGCGTTCCATGGTGTCCCCTGTTGTACCCTCGGGAGGATTTTACCTTCATTCCTCTTTGGAACAGTTGAGCACAGACCAAGTGTTAGGCCTCAGGGCAGGCCTTGGGGCACAGGGCTGACAACCCTGAGGGTGGAGCTCATCTCACGGCTGTGGGCAGGGCTGCCCGCCCCGAGCTGGCCCTGTAGGGTCGCCTGTCCTCTGGTGTTACTCCTTCCCTTCCTGATTTCCTGGAAAGCATCTTAACCACTGGGAGAAGCAGGTGTTCTTTCTATCTGGGCCCGAGGGCTTTGCTAACCTGGGCTTAGCTCCAGAGCCATGAACGGTCCAGTCACCTTCCCGTGGGGGCCGCCAGACGCACGGGGGTGCTGCCTCTGAGTTGACAGCCTTGTTTCTAGGACACATCAGGACTGGGCTGTGGGCTCTGGTAGGACACCGGGGGGCTGAGGCCCGCTGGTGCTTTAAGGGCCTGTATGGTGAGCTGGCAGCCAGCAGACAAAGATAACAGGCGTCCTGTGTCCCGGCTTGCCCCTCGGCTGCCACCTGCTCTTGGGGGATGGTCTCCCATCTGACCCCCACATGGCTATGAGGGCATCATGCTGCCACACGGCAGGGTGGGGGGCTTGGCAGACTCCCCCAAGGCTGTCCCCACCAAGCCGGTGCTCAGGGCAGCTTCGGAGCAGCTTGCTTGGACGGCGTGCACAAACGAGGGAACAGGGCCATTCGCGTTTGCCTCCCGTGTTGGAGCACGAATTCCAAGCCCTTGTGAGCTGCCCACCTGAGTTCAGTGATTCTGGGGTCGCTGTCACAGTGCTTGATTATCAGGTTGCTCAATGAAGAGTTTAGATGGAATTAAAACTCAAAATAACCTCTTAATAGGCCCGTTTCAAGTGAACATGCGTGCCTGTTTTTACATGACTGGTCGTGGAGCACCTGGAGGGGGCAGGTGTGGTTGGTCAGGTGTGCAGCTGGGTCACACCTCGGTGTGAGACTCTCGGACGGCCAAAAGCAAGTGAGAGCCAGGGGCCCAGCCTGTCATCCGCTCTCTCAGCGTGTGATTCACCTTCACTTGTAAATTAAATAACAAGACCCCATGCTCAGGTGTGGGAGAGAAGAGATGAATATTGTCCGCCGTCCCTGCAGATGAAGGTTTTCTCTAGATCGAGTGGTCGAAACTGAAAGGCTGCGGTCAGAGGCCAGGTGTGGCTGAGCCCCTGGGCGCCCTCCACGGCCCTCAGTCCGAACCTGGCGCGGTCCTGCCTCCCACCTCTGTGAGCGCTCCACAGTCCCCTGATGGCACAGTCCAGATGATACTCCGCTTCCCGGGGCTTTTGAGATTGTACGGATTTCCTTTGGAAAGAGGCGCCTTCCCCGCCCTTAGGGCTTAGTTCCTTACTGAGGGTCCTTTCCTAGGATGCCTCCCTTTTGGCAGAGTTCCCTTCCCGGGGGGCTCCCCTGGTCATCGTCCCCTCCATCAGGCCCTGGGGACGGCCACCCCGGGTGTAGAATCGTGAGGCCACGTGGTCTTGGGAGTCAGAGGCTCTTCCCACTCATGCCGGGTACTGGCTGCCGTTGGCTGTTCAGGAGCACGTCAGAAGCAGAGGGCGGCCCCAGGCAGGACTGAGGGACTAAGGGCATTTGGGGGGAAAGCGAGGCAAAGACCAGGCTCTGAAGCTGCTCACGGCCATGCTAGGGAGTTGGGTGTTAGTCCCTGAGCGGTCAGGAGGACGGGGTCGGCCGTCTGAAGGGTCGACCCGGAGGGGGCTGGCCCAAGCAGGACCCACAGGGAAGGTCGGTGTGCGGGGGGTGTGGCCTGTCGTGAGCAGCCACCGAGGGGTGCCCCGGCCCACCGAGGGGTGCCCCGGCCCACCGGGGGTGTCAGAGTTCCTGCTGGAGGCCGGCCGGGCCGTGTGGGGCGCATGGGCTCCAGCTCGGGGCGGTGGGGGCTCCCCCAGCCCAACTGCACATCTGGCTGGTGTGATCCGGATGGAAGTGCTCGCTGGTAATTTAGCCCATTCAGAAGTGCTTTCTCCCGAAGTGCTGTGTTGCTGACAATTTTTCCCATTGTGTGTGGGGTTGAGCTCCCCCTTCCCCACTGCCTGCCGTGTTCTGGGATCACCCTGGGTGTCTCTTTGAAATCCAGACACTCCTGAAAAGCTCTAAGTAGCTATTCACCAGTGAGGAAATGGCAGCGTGCCGCTTGCACGTGCGGCTCTATTTCGGGACCTGCATGACGAGCGTGTCCTGGTCCTGGGGGCCCACGGCTGGGGTGGCGTCCGCAGGCCTGGCCTCACCGCTCTGCCCTTTCGCCTTTCTTGTGCAGCGCCCGTGGGCTGGAGAAGGCCCGGCAGCAGCTTCAGGAGGAGGTCCGCCAGGTCAGCAGCCAGCTGCTGGAGGAGAGGAAGAAGCGGGAGACGCAGGAGGCCCTGGCGCGGAGACTCCAGAAGCGGGTCCTGCTGCTGACGAAGGTACGGGGCATGGCGGGGGCGCCCAGGCTGGCCCTGCTCGGGAGGCCTGCCGTCCCGGCCAGCAGCCACCAGCCCATCCCTGCCACGTCCAGCTGGAGTGTCTGGTCCCCAGGCACCCATGGTTGTGCAGATCGCTTCCAAACGAAGGGCACTTAACCACAGTGGTTTATGTGGTTGACCAGTCAGGCTTGTGTGGAGTTGCCTGGTGTCCCCACCCCCAACCCCCTCCCCGCCACGGAAGAGCGTCCACTTCCTGCATCAAAAGCAGAGTCGTGGCGGCTTTCTCAGGCTGCGCTTTTATCCTGGGATGCTCGCGGTGTTCTTGAATCACAACAAAGACTTCCCCAAACCCCCATGGTCCCTTTGGGACTCAGAGGGCCTGGGTGTGGGCCCTTCTGGATGACTGTCCAGTGACCCAGTGCTCCTGGCAGGGGGGAGGGCGGGGGGCTGTGCTGACCTGAGCTCCCTCTTGCAGTCAGGGTCTGTCCTGCCCTGGGTTGTGGGCGGGGGCAGCCTTCCCTTCCTTCAGTGACCTGCGAGCGCAGGGTAAACGGTGGTGGGTCTGTGGCCCGTGGTTTGGAACGAGAACTGTCTCTGGGATACAGATGCCCTGGGCAGAATGTTCTTGTTCCCAGCCTCGTGGGTGGGGCCAGGCTCTCTCTAATCGTCCTGTGCCTGATGAGTTTCCGATGTCTGGCTCGACAGAGTCCGCTGGAGCACAAATTAAGGTTTTCTGTGGGAGCGTGTTACTTAAACATTCCCTTGAGTGCTGAAGTTTCAGAAGACAGGAAGAGAGGCTGATTCTGTCCCTAAACGCTCTCCAGGCAGTTGTGGGGTGTCTAGCTTGCTGGGCAAAGACACCTTTCATCTGCCCTGAACCCGACACTGTGGGCCGAGTGGGCCCATCCCAGGGATCGATGGTCCGCCTGGGGGACGCCAGGGGTTGTGCCTCATGCTCTCGGCCTCTGGGACCTCCTGCTTATGAAGCTTTGAGGGGACAGGTTATATTTCACCTACGAAAAGCCTGTCATTTCATGGCTTCTCCAGCACATTCCTTGCCATGTTGTTGCTTAAGAGCCTTGGCGTCACTCAGGGCCCTGGGTCCAGGGGCTTTCCACGTCAGGCTTGGCTGACCTCTGCACACAGGCCCCTGGTGTTGCCTCTGGCCTCCTGGCTCTGTGGGTGGTCCCTGCGGGGGAGTCATGCGAAATGCCCTCATGCGCCACCCCAGTGGCTGAGCTGGGGCCTGAGGGCTTAGTTTGTGAAAGTCGCGTGCAGGATTTGGGGGAGTGGGCACGAAGGTGCTGCCAGTGCTGCTGGCGTGGGTCCAGACCGCGGGCGGGGGCGGGGGGGGGGGCAGGCAGCGGGAATAAGAGGCAGACAGTACGCCTGCCCCAGGGCGCACGTCCATGGCTTGGACGGAGGGTCTGCGTGTGGCCGGGGCGTGGGACGTCTGTAGGTGGGGGTGAGGCCAGGCTGCAGTTCCTGACGGGGGGAGCTCGGGCTTTCCTGCGGAGACGAGTGGGGGAACCTTCCTCTGTGACCTTGGGGAAGGCGCTCAGTCCCCCTGGGTCCCCGTTTCGGAACAAGCAGGGGTGTCGTGCGCTGAAGCAGCCTCATGGGCCAGCCCGACTGGCTCCCGTGTGGACAGTGCTCACGGGGCATGTGAAAGCCACGGAAGGAGGAGACAGGATGGAGGTCCCCGAGGAATTGAAACCTGGGATCACCGCACCATCCGGCAAGCCACCTTGGGCATTTACCCGCAGGAGACGGAATCCGTGTGTGGAACAGGTGTCCCACGTTCAGGCAGCATTGTTCACAGCAGCCCAAGGGCCCGGCGGCAGGGGGGTGGGCAGAGAAGACGGGGTGTAGGCGCACAGTGGGATATCGCTCAGCTATGAAAAGGAAGGAAATCCTGCCATTTGTCACAACGTGGGGGGACCTGGAGGGCATTGTGCCAAGTGCAATAAGTCAGAAGCACACATACTGCATGGTTTCCCATGTGGAATCTGAAAACGCCGAAGTCACGGATGCTGGATTGGTGGTTCTGGGGCAGGGGCTGGGGTGGGCAAAATCGGTGGACGTGGTCAGAAGGGACAGACTTCACTTGTAAGATACATCATAGAAGGAAAAATACCAGCCACGGATGTGGTGCGTGCCCGCCACTCCTGGGAGGCTCTGGGTCACCCCGTGCCGCGACTCGGTGACAGCGCCGTGTGCCGCAGGAACCGTCCGAGTCCCTTACACGAAGTGTTCCCCTTCTCAGATCTCCTGTGGGTCACGCAGGTGTGCTCACCGTGTGGCAGGGGAGGGATTCGAGTGCAGAGAAGCAGCTACTGCGCACGGGGCCAGTGGGTCCTGTGTTCACGCTGAGTGAGTCCCTCTGGGAAGATCTGCCTGTTGGCTGTCAGCAGGTATGAGAAGAACCTTCCTGTCAGCACAGCGCAGCCTCCATTTCAGTGGGTGTGTGAGCGAGCACCACACCGGGGGGCCAGCCACTGCGAGCCTTCTCTTGTTGGCCAAGGTCACTTGGATTCTAGTGGTTAGAATCCCCGTGGCAGATCCTTGTCGAACCCGTGCCTCGCAACGGGAGCTGGTGGGTGTGACCCCCACCTGCAGACCCCGTGGCCCTCCGTGCCCAGACTGCACCCCACCTTTGTGAGGTTTTGGCCTGGCTGCCTTGTTGGGCATTTTCTGTCCCACAAGGTGACTGTCTGGGTCCCGAGGCAGGAAATTTCCATTCTCCGTGTCTCAGCAGGTTGGAAGCCGATGGCCCTTCCCAGCCTCATTCCGTCCCCACGCTGACCCGCGGCGCTCACGGGCCTTGCTGAGTTCGGGGGAGAGTGGGTATTGATTGCCTGGCGCTGACTGATGCGTTGACTGTTGCTCGAACGCACGTTCCCGTTGGGTCGATAGCAGTCTCCCGCGCCGCCCTGGGTCTGGCTCACAGGGGCCCGGCTCGCCAGCCAGTGGGGTGATGAAGCCGTTCATCAGGCCTGTCTGTGTGTGCGGGGGTGCCAGGTGCACGCCCACTGTGTGTCCACGCTCGTGGTGACCCCGCGAGCTCCGAGGCCTGTCGGTCAGACACCAGCCGGGCCTGCTCCTGTTCAGGTGCTTCCTCCTCAGGGCACCTCCAAGGTGGCTGTTCTTGGGGCTCGAGGGAGTTTGGTCGCTGGTCTTCCCCTCTCCTTGCTGAGGAGAGACCCACCTCTGTGGGGCAGAGCCGTGTGTACGGCGCCCCCGCCCCCGCTGCGGCTCTGCGCCAGGCCGACCGCAGGCCTGCTGGCTGGGCTCTGGGCGCCTGTGTCCCGTCGAGGGCCCTGTTTGTGTGCTTGACATTTCCACGTTCAGTGCTTGGAGTGTGCGGTTTTATTTTGAGACCTTATTAAGCGGCTCTAAGTCTAAGGGTTTAATTGTTACTGATAGCTGAGAGTGTAATCACCTTGGTAAAATACCATGACTATTTTAAGCAATTGAAAATTGGCTTCCAGAACTGGGTGAACACAAACCATTTTCCTATTTGAAATGAGCTATTTCCAGTGTGCCCCTGATATTCCACAGTACGGTTATAGAATTTTGTTATTTATAGAACCTCAGCAGTAAAAGCTAACTTTTAGCAAGCAATTAAAAAAACAAATGAAAGTAAAAGCTTCCCTTAACTCTTCTTTCTATATCCTAACTGTTCCCCATCCCAAATTCCAGAATGCAGTGGTGTCTGAGAGGAGGACACAGGTCACAGGTGTCTTACTGACCACCTTGGGGATCGGAGCACGTGGTTTGATAGTGGTGATGTCCCTCCCTTGAAAGATCCCTGAGTGGGGTGGTGGTCCTCATGAGGGGGCCGGGTGGGTGGAGGTCCCAGTTGGGGGGCGGGCAGGTGGCTTCCTTTGCGTCGGGCATGCCAGGGTGTGGTTGCTGGCCGGCAGAGGATGTGTACCCCGCCCAGCATCAGTGGGACTGCAGGCTGTTTTGCGGACACCCGCCCTGTGGGTGCCCCTGGATCTGTGCCAGAACCTCGTGGCTCTGGCTTCAGTTGTGCCGCGGTGGGCTGCAGGCGTGCCGCACTGTTGTTTGGGTCCGCTAGTGCTCAGCAAGGTGGGCCCTCCCTGTGCAGGGGTTTACAGGCAGCTTGCCCTTCTCTCCTGGGGCTCTGTCCGTATTCCGACCACGAATCTCTAGCTGGAGACGTGTGTGCTCTGGTCTGCAGTTTGCTTCCTCCGTCTCGTGTCTGTTGACGAGCAGCAGCTCCTAGTGAGTGCAGAGCGGCTTACAGATGTTCTTACCGTTGTGTCAGCGCTGTCTGGGCCTTCGAGACCCGGGTGGGCACAGTTGTCGCTACCAAAGTCATGGAGACAGTTAGCGGCTCTCCTCTGACTGCTTTATTGTCTCGCCTTTTACGGATTGATGTTTGGGTGTGACAGGTGGTAGGTGTCAGGTTCGTTTCCCCCAGATGTCACCTGGATTTGCACTGGTGGTCATCTTGCCACATGGGCAAACACCCAGTCGTTAACGTTGTATGCCTCAAACTAATGCTACGTGTCAGTTACACCTCACTTGAAATTCTCAGAAAGATTATTTTTTTCTCTGTTGAACATGTAGTTGGCCCAGCACCATCTATTGAGAGACCAGCCCTTTCCCGTGGAGTGTCCCAGGGCCTTTGCCACCTGCCACGGGCTGTTCCGGGCAGTCCAGCGCCTGGGTTCTCCGTTCGGTTCCGTTGCCTCCTGTTGTCTGTCTTTTTACCCTGCCACCTTGTCGTCAGTGTTACAGCCTTATGATGCGTCCACTCGTAGCCAGCCTTCACATTGGTTCTTCGTTAAGATTCTTTGGCTCATTTTGGTCCTTTGCATATCCTCCTACGTTTCAGAATCCATTTGTCCATTTACACGAGAAACTCTCCTGGAATATGGTAAGGATTACAGTGACTTTGTAAATCAGTTTGGGAAGACGTGACATTTGCCCATTGTCTTCTGAACGAGAACATCACCTGTTAGATGCAT